AGGACAAGGTGAAAAGACAGCTGAAAAGGAACCAGGCAATCAAAACATTGTCGTCACTTCTCTGAGGAATGTACCTATGCTGGAAAACTTGGTCTCTGTATGACAATCTCAATAGGAAAGACAGAGGGAAGGTAAGGGCCAGTGAATTTCACAGAAAACTTCTTTAGAGGAAGAGAATTTTCAAATCACAATACACTTTTAATTCAAGATAAGCCCAAAGTAAACACTCCTCATCACACAACATGGTAGGGTGGAGACAATAGAGAAGGATGGATGATAAAGATAAAAAATCTGAGGGTGGTACATGTAGAATTATAGCCTGGGTTGCAGTTACCAAAGTGATCCAGGTCAATTCCAACTACTGACTGCTAACTGTCTCAGGATAATCAAAGAAATAGACAATGTTCTTCTAAATGAGGACACTTCATTCTAGTCTCCAAGGAACCCATTCCTACAAAGATGTTTCAAGGATGACAATAAATAGTGATCTGTCACCAAAACTAATGTACAGAAAAATAGCTCTCCCCCCCCCCGGCCCCCGCCGCCAAACTACCTGCGTCTGCTTGTCTCTGCCGCCGGGCCTGTCTACCTCTGTGGGCCGCCGCTGGGACTGAATGTCTCTGCCGAAACAAAAAAAAAAAAAAAAAGCTGGTGCTGTACATAATGGATGCAACACACATCAACAGCTGTTAAAATTGCTGGGATACTATTTAATTATACTTGGTGATACTGACTGAAAAGAGATACATTTAATGTCTCCAAGACACTGAAAATAGTGAAAACTGACACTTTTTTTTAAAGGAAAAAGAATTTCTAGTAATAAAAAAATGTTAAGTCTAAAATGTGGGGAGAAATGGTATTTTACCCTAAATACAAGAGAGAATTAAAGAATTAGAATTTATTTGCTACAGCGACAATACAACGAGGACATGAAAAGAAGGTAAGTTAAAGGCCTGGCAGTCTATTTCCACTTAGTGTGGAGCCAGGGCCAGAGAGCCCCTCACCCCCCACACTCAGTTCTTCCTGTTACCACTGTTCTGTACCCCTATGGCACATTTCTTGTTATTAATGAATCCAAACTGGTATATTATTAACAATTAAAGCCAATACTTTTTTTTTTCAAATTTCCCTTTTCCCCTAATCTCTCATTTTTATTTCCAGGATTTTATGCAGCATGCAACATTTTATACAGCTATCATATCTTTTAAGGACTCTATTAACCATGACAATTTTTGTGAGTTTTCTTTCCTTTTTTTATTTTTTTGGGGAGCTCATGGTTGGTTTTTCAAGACCAAGTTTCTCTGTGCAGTCCTGACTCTCCTGGAACTAACTCTATAGACCAGGGTGGCCTTGAATTCAGAGATCCTCTTGCCTCTGCCTCCCAAATGGTAGGATTAAAGGTGTACACCACCACATCCAGCTTTTCTTATTTTTAATGAATGGTCATTTTGAGGAGTTCAGGGAATGCTTTTTTGTGGATTATCCTTTGAGTGACTTTTATGGGAATATGTGAATGGATAGCTATTCATCCCAGATAAGTCACTGATAACACACAAAACACAGTATTCCACACAAATCTAGCTTAGTGGACCAGTGAGTTTATGGAGTTACTACAGAAGCATAAATCTCTCAAAGATGGCTATATCACTGAAAAGCCTATCTCAGCCTGGATAGTTACTCAAGAAAGCTCAATTTGTGGAGCTCCCTGCATAAGTTGCAAACAACTCAGAAGGTTAGATAGTCTCTTCTGCACAGCAATTGCTGCTGCTTATATGACCTCAGGGAGGAACTGTGTGAATCCTGTAAGTTTCAGGAGCTCCCTGAGACTTCGGAGTGCCTTACTTTTGAACCTTGTAAGTTTTGTTTACTTTCTGAGTCTGCCTTTGGTAACTCCCTCCAGGATAGAATGTTTCAATTCAGAGCAATGTGATGCACATCTTCCTGTTAGGATATCTACAGATTTGCTCTTGGTTAAGTAAGCATTATAATTTTGAAGAGGACTATTACAGAGATGAAAGGCCAATTGTTAGATGTGAAATGTGTCCACTAACACAAAACATCATTGCTGATGCCTTCAACCTTCATCAAGTGCTTGCCAGGCTTTTACACCATAAAACTCTTCTTTTTTCTACCCATTGTTCTTGACAGTTTATGCTCCCATTCCTGAGGGTGCAGAACTATAAATTATATGGAATACCTCTGCCTGAGGGGTGTAAGTCTTCTTCTTCTATGTATTTACTCTCTGAATTACTGTTTTTAAATATGGTTTATTTGTTGAGAATTTCATATATGTACAATTTATTTTGATTGTATCCATCCTATTCCCACACAAATATATTATACATGCCCTGGGTTATAACTCAGTACTACTTCACTCCTCAAATTATTTCAGATTAGCAACTGAGGGTTCTTCTGTTGATTCTTGTGGTTGTTTTGACATTTTCCTATTAACAGACACATGCACATGTGTGCATGTGTGCCTTGACTGTTTTGAGTAATTGCTTGCTTTCTGACACATGATACTCTGAGCTTATATGCTTATATTTTTCCTGTCATAGCCCAAAATACTGTTTTCAACAAGGAGTCCTTTGATTAGAAGGAGATATAAAAATCCAAGAACTGGGAAATAAATGTGCCTAGTGTTAATTTGGTATCATTGTGTCCAGTGTCTCAAATAACAGAGTAATGGAATACATGATATACTAACATATGAATGTATGGTATCCACAAACCCCATCTGTACACATATTACCCTAAACATGACTTTAAATGTCTCTAACTCTAATTCATTGGCATTTGAGTATATTTTGCCCATTCCCATTTCTTATCTGTAATTCTCAGTACTGAGAAAATTTGCTCCAACCTATTCACCTAATGGTTTATTTCAAATACACAGAAAGACAGAAAGTCTTAGCACCAAAAATCTGTCATTTTTAAATGACATTTTAAAGCCAATACATGTGATGCAAGTATATGCAGTGCTTGTACTTATAAATAGAGGAGAGGATTGGGGTGGGATGAGAGTAGGTAGGGGAAGTAGGAAAAGGGGAGGAAGGCAGAGCAGGGGTTGGTATGCAAAAGGAAAGAAAAAAATTAAATAAAAAAAGGAATAAAAGTCTCCCAAGGTGGGGGTACAGAGCTTTACTGACTTGGCTTAGACGACAGGGGCTAGGAGTGCACAGTGGAAAGACAGAGCCCAATGTATGCTCAGTCCAAGAGGCTAGAAACCTTGTAAGAAGATGGTGGATTGCAATGGTACAGAATCAGTTGAAAGCTGAAACTCAAATTATGAGTTTACTTTGAAAGGCTGAGGACTCCGGAGTCTCCGGTGATGACAGGAGCAATTGACACACTTACCCTGACTCAGAGCATGAAGCAGAGCATGAAGTCAGGGAACAAAATCCCCCTTCCATAGTCCCTCCATTTGTGCCCTTTACCCTCAGCCTACTGGAAGGTGCTACCCATGTTCAGGGAGTCTTGCACCTTCAATTACTCTCCTTAACCTCAGTTTCCAAATGGCAAATGTTGCTGAGTTTTATTTGGTATGCATAGGGTATCAAGACTTGTCTTACATTTTTGATGATTTGTCTATGAATATTTTGTCCAATTTAATTTTATTGTTAATTTTCTTATTCATTTTAAAAGTTCTTCGAATACATTACATATATGTCCTTTATCATATTTTATAAAGTAGTTTTCCCAGCCTATGGGTTATCTCAGAATTATCATAACCACATTCTCACCTGCAAATTTTTATTTAATAAGAACAAGTGAGCCAATTTCACATTTATGTCATATTTCCATATCTATCTTACCAATCATCTTCAATCCAAGAGTCACTTAAGGCTTTTCCTTTCCCTAGAAGTATTACAGTTTTACACTTTATATTTTAGTTCTATGATCCACGTGGAGTTGAATTCTGTGACAAGGCTAAGATCTGTGTGCAGATTCATTGTTTTTGTGGATTCATCTGCAATTGTTCCAATGCCATTGTGGAAAAAATGAAACATTTAACACTGTGGAATCTTTCAAAAATATAATTAAATTCCTAAAAAGAGATGACAGAGCAAATTCAGTAGGAATATAAGAAAACATTGAAGCAATCATTGTAGAGGTGCAGTATGAATTCAAAACATTGACAGAAAATACTAATTCAGACATTATTTCAATAAATTAACACTAACAGGATGACTGAACTACTGAGTATTTGTTTTGCTGCTCTTGGTAGTGGTAGTGGCAGAGTGTGTGCCTGCCTGTATGTGTATGTGAGCATGTGTGTGTGTGTGGTGCTAAGAATTATGTGTATCTGTGTGTAGTGTTTGCAAACATTTGTGTATATACATGTCTGTGCATCTCTCTCTCTCTCTCTCTCTCTCTCTCTCTCTCTCTCTCTCTCTGTGTGTGTGTGTGTGTGTGTGTGTGTGTGTGTGTGTGTGTGTGTGTGTAAGTGAGAGGTCTATCTTGAGTGTCTCCATTTCTCTACTTTGTTTTTGAGACAGATTCTCTTACTGGGCCTGAAGCTCACTCATTTGGCTAGTGTGGCTGGTCACAGAGTGAATAATCAAATTTTCCATGAAAAAAAAAAAACAAAGTGATGCTACACTCAGTAAGACTATTTTCAAGAATAATGCAAGATAAATGTTTTCTCATGAAGTAAATAAAGAGATGTAGCAGGAAACATTATTCCATGGTGACTACCAAGCCCACAGAGCTAGTATCTTTGGTTCTCCCAGGTGATGGAATACAGATCGGAGGGGGAAGGGGAATATTCAGTTCCATCTGTGTTCCAACTAGAGTACCCAGCACATTTTTCATACAATGTTCAAATAGTCTTAGTGGATTTTGCCTAAGGTCACAAGGATTAAAAACATACTTCATTATATATTCAGATTATATATACCACAAATTACAACTTTGCAAACACTTAAAAAGTACACATTCATTCCATTTCTAAATTCTTATTTTATTTTTTAAGAGAGGAAGTGTTTATTTTTGCTTACCATTCTAGGTTCCAGCCCATCATGCTGGGGCAGTCACAGTGGCAGGTGCTTGAGGCAGCTCATCATATCACTACACACAGGAGAAGAGAGAAATGGACTAGCCGGGTGGTGGTGGTGCACACCTTTGGTCCCAGAACTCGGGAGGCAGGGCAGGCGGATCTTTGTGAGTTCGAGGCCAGCCTGGTCTACAGAGCGAGATCTTGGAAAGGCATAAAGCTACACAGAGAAACCCTGTCTCGAAAAACCCAGGGGTGGGGTGGACTAGCATATGCATGCCTACTATTCAACTCTATTACTCTACAGTTCAAAACCAAACCCAGGAAACGGTGCAGCATGTCTGACTGGGTCTTACCCCACAAAACTGCCCGCAAACCAACCTGTTCTAGACAGTCCCTCTCTAGACTCTACTGTCACGAGAGTCTAGATTACTCTTCAACCCCTCATCAACTTGACATCCAAACAAAAGATAAAAAAATGAAACCTTCCAGCCCATATCCTCACCCTCAAGTTTATTTCATAATGTAAAGTGCAATCTAACTTTAAAAGTTACCAAATTTTAAATAATTCCAACACTTTAAAATTTCAAATTATCTTAACTATAGTTAAGATATATATACAAATCTTAACTATAGTTCCTATAAAATTAAAACCAAATTATGTACTTCTAATGTATAATGAATGGCACAGAATAAACATTTATGTGCAGTACTGAGGATCAAACTTAGGGCCTCATGCAGACTACTCAAGTATTCAAGTAACCCTCAGCTGTATCCCGACTTCACACGTTAACCTCCCAAAGGACTTTATATCACATGGAAGTCTTTAGGAAGTATTACTTCCTGGAAAAGCAGAAAATAACATTAGTCAGAAAGAGACTTGCTGAATATAGAGTGTGGATGCAGATCTTGTCACTTGCTGAAAGTTCTTTTAACCATGTGATGACCAAATTTCAAATAGTGCTCAGTGGTGTTTTCCATATGTAATTTTATGGAGGTGTGTGATTTATATAATTTAAACTTCTTTTTGTGTCTTTTATTTGCTCTCTGTGTGTATATATCTATCCAGGATATGTCAGAGCTACATCCTCACCCTTCCCTGTGTCTTAAGCTTCTCGGAGTTTATAAGATAGAACCATTAAACCTATAATAAAAGTAAATGTCTGTAGTGCAGATCAATACCCAAGGTAGACAGGGTGTTAACTATCCCGACTCTTAGAAGCTAATTGCTCTCTCGTAAAAGAGGGAAACCATCCCCATGCACTCATGGATGACCCCAGAGCAGAAACCTGCAAATGAAGAAAACATTCTAATATCCTAATCTTATGCATCAGATTCTTGCACAAAATAATAGGTTCCAAAGTCCGAGTTAACCTACATCCAAGAGCAGTCTTAAATATTAAGTGGAAAATTCCAGAAATAAACATCTCAACAGTTTAAAATAAATAACTTTCAGTAAAATGTATTGTTGCATTGTTCTAATTTATTATTGCTTTGTGGTTAATCTCATAGAGTGCCTAAATTTATATATTAAAGTCTGTCAAGGGTATGTTAATATAAGATAGAGTCATATATTCTGGTGACATTTCAAGCATTGGAAGAAAATTGTCTGAGAATGGTCAGAGATAATGAACAGCAAAGAGGATGAGAAGCAAGGTTTGATTTGGGGGGTTGTTTGGGGGGGTTGTTTTGTTTTGTTTTGTTTTCCTCTATTTAGGACAATATTTGTACCACTATGCTGTTCCATTTATAGGAAAATCAGAAGTATTAAAAACAAACTTCATTTCCACCCAGTCAATTGCTTTCTAAATTACATGAATTATTATTTAAAATGGACTTAATCTTTTATCATCCATTTGAGATATTATCATTCATTTGAGACGGCAGGAGTTATCACATATCTAAAGTGACATTTTTATCTTCAATAAATTCTAATTCAGTTCATATATTAACTGTAGAAACACAATTTTAGAGTGGTTAATCAAAATGCTTTATGGATTCCTCATTCTATACTACTACAGGCATGATACTGTAACAAAAATAGTAATTAAAGGGTTCCAATGACACAATGAAGCTGCTCTCCTCATTCCCTTTAAAGAAAACCTCTGAAAAGAAACAACCTTGTTTGGCAATTCATAATCCCCAAAGACACCATCGTTTTCAATGCTTTAATTATTGTCCTAATTTCTCCTCTATTTAAGGATTTCTCTATAGGGATGATTTGAAAATTTGACTCCAAATAGCTCAGAAATTAACAAGTCTTATAACTCATAAGTATGCTTTTGTTGTCAATCCTGTGAAAATATCATTTTTTTTCTAATCATTTTCTAATGATAATCCAACATCCAGCCAATTTTAAACTGACTGATAAAAGTGTAGGTGATTGCAGTAGCCCTGCTACTAACCCCAAGCACTGCAATGAAGGAGAGAGAGCATCTTTCAATGACCATGCTGCCATCTACACAATGGTATTTTTTGTATGAAACAAAATCACATTTTATATATTCATGTAACTTTTCTATGTAACATTGATACGTAAGATTTATTTCCAATTTTCAGTGTGTTTGGGAGTTAAATTCTTGCAATCCTATAATCCAAGAATTATGACTTCTGAACATCATTGACTGTGAAGTTAATGAATATTCATTACTATGTATTATTTTTTAACCCAATCTTCTAATTTTTAAATATCTTTAATTTGATGACTATACAGCCATTAACAGGGGGTTGTCTAACAATGCCTCTCAGATCAAATATTAAAGATTGATTACAGTGAAACACTTTATTTACCAATGTGTGCCTACATGACACTTAAAGTTATCTATACTGCCTAGAAGGCTGCCTCATTATTTCTTGTTTTTTTTTTTTTTTTTTTTTTTTTTTTTTTTTTGGAAGGGTTTCTTAGTGTAGCTTTGGTGCCTGTACTGGATCTCTGTAGACCAGGCTGGACTCGAACTCACAGAGATCCACCTGGCTCTGCCTCCCAAGTGCTGGGATTAAAGGCTTGTGCCACCACTTCCCGGCTTATTTCTCCTTCCTTATGGAAACATTTTTCTCAGTTAGTGGGACCACTCTTTGACAAACCAAATTCTTTAAGTAATTGCTCAGCCATCTGCAGTTAATCAGAAGAAATAATTACAAGAATTTTCCTTGTTAAGGAAAATTAATTTCTCTCAAGTTGGAATTTTGGAAATAAACAAAATACGGAATGCTGATAGTTTTCCAAAAACCAGGTCAATGATATACCTTCATTTTTAACTCTGAATATCTTTTGACTATTAATATCATTTAGGATTACAAATTAAACTTGAAAAGGGATAAGTCTTAAATAATTGAGTCGTACCTTAAGGCAATTCTTTCTAGCATTTTCAAAGAAGATTTCAGGTTACAGTGATGAAATATTTATATTTGAAGCATGTTTTGAATGTCTCTGTCCAGAGCCATAAGCTTGATTTTGACAAATAATAGTTCTTAAGTGAAGTAATTTCAGTGTTCATGTCTAGCACTTTTCTTCAATTTATTAACGCTATTAGGACATCTGGGCTCAGTCATCTTTTAAACTTTAAATACAGGTTGAGTTATACTCTGCTGCATTAATCACTCATTTGAGATATTTTTAACAAGTAAGGAAATAAGTCAGCATAGAGTAATAGAACCTTGTGCAGAGGTAAAAGAACACTGAATGCAATTTCAGTAAATCTAAAGATATTCAAATATGTTACTTATAGAAGAAAATTGCAACAGAGCAGGTCAGGAATGCTGGTCAGGGAAAGGAAGGGAGAATATTGAGAGCAAAGCACTGTTTTCATTGCTTTTCATCTTTGTTTTATAACATTTCTTACAGCCCCAGTTAGACTAAAATGTGAGGTTCTAACACAAGCAGTGCTATACCTCAACTGCTTCCCTAAAACCACTAATTCTAAGTAGCATATGACATTTACCAACATGTAGTTTATAATGGAAACCATCTACCTAGTCCTTCTGAGTTGGACCACAGTCACCATGACAACGCTCTGCCATTGATTCTTCCATCATGCTGAGACTTTGGCAGGGACTAGAAAGAAACTTAAGTTCATAAAACCCTTTTCATACTTAAAATAGATTTCATTTGCATTTTTTTAGAATAAGAAACCTCTCCTTCAGTCCGTGACAATACAATCATAAATGCTACTCTCATTGTTTAAACTTAGAAGGTTAAAAGATAAAATTCACATTTTTATATTATGGGAAATTATAGTAAAACATTAACTGACTTAACTCTAAATCTGCATATGATTTGCAGTGATGGTTTGCAAGCTAAACAAATTTTTCAACCTCAATTATTGCTGTGCACACTGAAAATAGATTTCTAGCCAATGACAAAATTTGAAATTAGAGAATGATAAAAAGCAAGAAATGCTGTGTTTGATTAGTTGCCGAGTTGGGTATTCCTGAGAGAACACATTTGTGGAGTTACTGTAATGAGAAAGTCTACCTCTTCTTCCAAAGGCATCAGCTTGCCTAATGAATTTTTTGAACAATTTGCCATGAATAAGTTACAGGAAAAGTTTCTGGTTTTTATGAGAAATATATTTTTCTAATCATTCCATTTCACTAATTTTGGCTTTTTCTCAAATCCCTCATTTATTCTGGAACATTTATAACTGGAGGTTACTCTTTTGTTGATGATATAATCATCCTTATTTCCAAATAAATTGCTTGTTGACTGCCACAAACAAACTCCTTCAATGGTTTTAGTTCCATGTGGATTTTCCTTTGTGGCTTCCTAGTACCCAGTAAAATTTAATTACGTTGGTCATTTAATGACTCGAGTCCAAAAACCTGTGTTTTCATTAATGGCTAAAAAAAATTAATCAAAGCCATAGCAGAAAATGAGTGAATGTTGTGTAATTTAACCTTACACCTTATTTAACTCAGTTTATAACATTCTTACAGCTTAATTTTACACTCTATAGCTTCAATATGCTTCCCAAATGGCCAAGAAGTTGCAAGCATATGGTGAGCTATAAACCCAAATTTGTCACTTTATTTTGACATTAAAGGTGTAAAATATAAGCTTTGATGGAAATGAACACTGTTTATTCACGCTGAGTAGCCTTGGTAGAGGTTTGGTTTTCAAAGTCCTACTTCTGATACTAGGCCATTTTCTCTGCATCTACCTGAGAAAAGGATGAGTTTTGGTTTGTGCACACTGAAAGGCAGTCTAGGCTCTGTTTTTATAGACTGTATTTTATGTCACATATCATGTTCTTACAGTGTCTGTTAGTGCTATTTCTAAATAACAATCCAAGCCTTTGCAGAGCAGTGGAATTTCTCACCCCTTGGTGGATAGAAATGTGTCACTGGAGAATTTTTAAGTGGCAATCATCAGGAGCCACAGGCCTTTCTTGGCTGTCATGGCACGCAGCAGTCTGGGTGCAAAGAAGGGATCTTGGATTGCATACCTGCAGGAATCCATGAAGAGTGCAGTAGCAAAGTCTCCATGGGGCCTGGCTCTCCTGCAACTAGGAAGGAAACAGAGAAGCATGAATTTGTATTTTTATGCATTGTTTTAGGAAACAATTTAATGTATGGGCTACACAGATCATAACCATTGAAGGGTGCTTTCCCACTTGACTGCTGGCCATTGCAAAGCAGAGAGGTGGCTTTCACTGCAGAGACCCAGCCTATGAGCATCCCATTACATTCCACTTCGTTCTTTTTCATACTGTGGAAGACAGCAGTAACATGAGCAAATTCAAATAATTCTCTCTCTGTTCCCTTCCCTGACTGCCCCCTCCTGCCTCCCTCATCCCTCATGCTTTCATTGAGTTAGGTTTCTTACAATTAATGTAAGTAGACAATATAATTACTCATGGAGAAAACTGCAAAAAGGGGATGCTTAGCTGAAACCTAAACCCCCATGTTCTCCGGGTCTCTCCTGAAGGCTCTTTTCATGTATGCCTTCATTGTCTTCTGCAGGTTGTTAAATGATACAAGTCAATGGTGGGCATCAGTTCCCCCTCCTACAGGCCTTTGCTTCACCCCCTTCTTGTGCAGGCCTCTCCTCATTCTCCTGCCACATTAATACTTGCCCTGAAATCCTATCACTTTGCTGGAGGATTGATGTAAGTCTCCAGCAATTAACATAATTACAAGCCTGATTATCTTCTAATTGCATTATGAGTATTTGGTTATTCACTACGCAAATTAGAGAAAATTGAAGAGGACCAAGATCCTGGGGTGTGGGCGTTGAGCTTTCTTACACGGTTATGAGAATTTGAATGCAAAGTCTTAACCCAGGTGAGGACTGTTCTGGAGTCTATGGATTAACGGTTGGTGCATTTGGAAGAAAGCTTTCCTTTTCCTTTCATTTTTCTTGTTAATTACACAAAATTCCCTCTGAATTATTTATAAATTCTCTGCAAAATGCCAATGAGCATAGATAAGCTGTAGCATGTCCACGTTGGTCTATGTTGGTTTTTATATGAATTTGTGATCATAAAACATGAATAAATAAATAAATAAATAATGGGAAACCACTAAACAATAAGTAAAAAATACTCCAAGTCACAAAGGGAACTTGTAAATGAGAACATCAGTAATACATAAAAATAATCCTAACAAGAACTCCAGGATGGAATTCACTATTATAAAGAACCGAGATGCTCAGGTCTCCAATGTGCAATTTTTCCATTGTGCTGCAATATCAGACTTGGATCAAATTTCTCTCTAAATAGAGGGCAGAGCCATCCACATTGGACAGTTTATGGGACAAATGACTCTGCTTTCTTCACTATTCCACAGAGCTGCATCCTCACACTTGAATCTTATGTGCAACTATGAGACTCTCAAAAATTCAGAAAATGGCTGCATAGATGAGTTTAGATCACACAAAAAATCTCAATTATAAATAAAATAATAATGAAGATGAAAACTGATAGGCTTAGAAACCCTGAAGTAAAAGATTTGACAACACACACCAAAGCGAAGCAAAACTCCCAATGGCATATCCTGCTAGCATATGCCAAGCAAAACAAAAGGAGACACACACACACACACACACACACACACACACACACACACACACACACATTTTTCTCAACTCCTGACATTTGGAGTCATTTGACATTTAAAAGGGAAACTTTATTAAATGATCAGGGAGAATGAAATGAAAAAATTTGACATAAAACAAACAACATACAAATAGACAAAAGATGCACTCCCAAGCTGACCAGAACTCCCTGAGCTCTGTGGAGAACTTCCTGCACCTTGGCTTGCTGCCACCATGAAAAGAGCATGATGCTATCTGAGTTTGGGAAATGCAAGTTTTTATTCATTTAATAAAAACAGTGGTTGAGTTCCAAACAACAAAACAGTATCAGCTTTTACACAACCTAGAACCTACTGAGAGTGCAAATGTACCTGCTGTGACATAAAGAGCAGGTCCTCTCAGAGCACAGAGAAAAGAAATGGGAGTTCCATCTCTGCATCATGAACCCTGGGAACAAAAGGAGTGTTTAAACTCAGGATTTCTGGGGTTGCCTAGGAAGCCCAGACCTCCGCCATTATGAAACCAAAGGTTTTTCCTGGTGAAGAGACAACTGGATTGTAGAATTCCAGAAGGAATTCATGGACAAAGGAGCTAGAGGAGGTGTGGGTGGGTGCTATTTAGTAAGAGATGCTTAGAGTGTACAAGCAAATGGTCATTTGAAGATAGTTTAGGTTGGTGGCAGTGAAGACAGAGAGACAGACAGACACAAAAGCTGTGGAGGAAGTGGCATCCACCAGACTGAAGAGGAGGTGAGATGCTAAGATGTGAAGTAGTAGAGTGTGACATGGTAACTCCCAGACTACTGGAGTCTGACTTGAAGAAAAGGAACCTGGAAACTCAGGGTTAAGCTTCCTGTTTGTTAATCTCATGAAGCAGTCAGAGAAACCCAAGTGGAAAAAGTCAGGAAGTTCTTGAAAAAAATTTGTTTGGATCACACAGAAGTCTTAATTAGTGATCATTAAATATATACATTGACAGAGTTGCAGACCTTGAAGCAGAGAGGTCTAAGAGATTACACTACACAGGGAAAGGATAGAAAGCAGGGACAGCATTAGAGACCCAACGTTGGATGACTGTAGGAAAAGGGTCATGAGGAAGAGGATGGGTAGCCGTGGACTCAAGTGAAGGGCTTCTAAGGACAAACTGGGAGAAGAGGAATAGCAAGAAGTAAAGGCTCAGCTCAGCAGAGCAGGTGAGAGAAACACAAGGTTGACATGAACTCAGATTGTCCACGGAGACAGAAAAAGACGAGAACTGCAGAGAGGCTTACTACAGAGAACCCTCAGGGCACAAGGAACAGGGGTGAAGTGCATGAAAAGCAGAGTTAACAAGACCTGAAATCTGCTGTTTGCCAAGTTCATTGAAACAAGGACAGGGGAAGTGATACAAATTCCTCTTTAAATTTTAGTGAAAATGGCTCAGTGGGTAAGATGGTGATGCCCACCCTGCTGACCAGAGTTTGATTCCCAGGACTCCTAAGAGAGGAGAACTGCCTAATGCTAGCTGTCTTCTGCCTCCATGCACATGCATTACATACACACACATGTGCACACATACACACACACATACACACACACATACACACACACGTGATAAAATAGACAAATGTGACAAAACCTAATGCAAAGAACTTGCTTAAAACTCTGTGAAGAGCAGCTCCAGGGAGGTGGCAGAAGCAGTCCGTGATGGAGGGACTTGTGTCACAATGCCTTGACTCCATCTCCTTAACATAGGGGTCAACAGAACAGAACAGAAGAGGAAGGAAAGTACCCAAGCTAGTAATTCACACCCAAGGGGAAATAATTAATAATAATTAAAATGAAATCTTACAACAGTGATGTAAGCTAAGCCTATGATTATTTATTCATTGCAGAAATTTTTGAGAAAGCAACGATATGCTTCTGAACTCTATCCCACATTAAAATGCATATTTCACATCCCATTTTAAGAAAGAATAAAGAAGTTCACATTGGAGAAAAATAAATTATGAGTATAAAATGTAAATTATAAAATATATATAGATCTTTTCAAAATACCCAGAAATATCAGTGGACTGAATCTTCTATAATGTGATCCCATCATTTGAATATTAAGATATAAAATCATTCACAATTTTAAGTCTGGATAGTATCTGAAGTGGAGCAAAAGGAAACACAAACCTTGGAGGCTGCAGAAAAGGCTCAGCATTAAGAACATGTACTGTGTTGCTCTAGGAGACAGCCTGAGTCCCATTCCCAGCACCCACAATACCCATTCCCATAGGTAGCTCACAGCCACCTGTAACTCCAGCTCCAGGGGATCTGAAATCCTCTTCTAGACTCCATGGGCACCTGAATTCTCATGTGCACATAACCTCCCGCTCCTGTCCATACATACATAATTCTGAATGTAAAATAAATCTTTACAAAAAGGAATGACTTTTATCCAGTGGTTTAAAGATTATAATTCACATGGTTGACCATCTGGACTGTGAGTTTCCGCTTCAGTTTTTCTGGACCTAACTTCCCCAGCTGTCTTTTGGGGCAAGAATGAAAGATAAACAGCGCTGGTGGTGGGGCTGGTTACTGCATGGAATGGTCATGGTCACAACAGAACCCAGTGTTAGTTTTTAGAGCTTTATTAAGAGGGAAAGGGGGGAAGAGAAAGAAGAGAGGAAGATGGTGGGGGGAGGCAGTAGAGCAGAGCAGGGAACAGAGAGAGAGGAAAGAGAGAGAGCTTGGGGTCTGCAGTCGACTTTTTCAGGTGCAGGTTGGGTGACCACTCTGTGCCAATGTAGTTGCCAGTGCTTCCTGATGACGTAAGATGCAAGACCCCAAGCTGCGCATGTGCAAGAGTGAGGGCAGGATCCTAACAAAGAAGACTCTCTTAATAGAGGTGTTCCTACCCTACAGCTTGCCGAATTTGACCATTCTGGCTTTTCCCTCAGACTGCTAGCCTGCACCCTGGCAGAACTGAGAAAGAGTGTAGACATGCAGTGAAGTAGGGTCCGCCTGGGTCCAAGAGAGAAATAGCAACTTAGACTAATTCAGGACAAATTCTTCAGACATCAATGCCAACTGTAGCTTGAGCTCTGCTCCCAGCCCCTTCCTTACCTTTTCTGAAACATAGCTAGAACATGGTGACAGTATGTTTCCAGGAAGGCACAGACACCCGAGATGATCTACTTCTGAAGAGAAAATTGCTCCATGTGGGACATTTCAGTTAGGATGGGTGGGCCATGTTATTCTGAATCCACGACAAGGTAGCACAGGTTGGGAGTGCCACTCCTTGGGCCTAAGGTCATGGCCAGAACACACAGTCCCATTAAAGGCACTCCCTTCATGTTCAACTTAGTCCTCTTTCTTAAGGACCCCATCATTCCCCAGTGGTGCCAGCCAGGGACTGAGATTTTTAATACTAGAGCCTTTGGGGAAGATTCCAGACCTAAACTAAAGAGGAAG